AGCCTGGCCTTGAACACTTCCAGGGATAGGGCATCCACAGCTTCTCTGGGCGACCTGTTCCAGTGCCTCACCACCCTCTCTGGGAAGAACTTCTTCCTGATATCTAATCTAACCCTCCCCACTTTCAATTTAAACCCGTTACCCCTTGTCCTGTCACTACAGGCCCTTGTAAAAAGTTCCCCTCAGCTTCCTTGTAGCCCCTTCAGGTACTGGAAGGGGCTGTAAGGTCTCCCCAGAGCCTTCTCTTCTCCAGGCTGAACAAGCCCAACTCTCTCAGCCTGTCCCCATAGCAGAGGTGCTCCAGCCCTCTGAGAGTCTTCGTGGCCTCCTCTGGATTCGTTCCTACCAGTCTATATCCTTCTGATGTTGAGGGCTCCACAGCTGGACGTAGCACTCCAGGTGGGGTCTCACAAGAGCAGAGCAGAGGGGGAGAATCCCCTCCCTCGACCTGCTGGCCACACTTCTCCTGCTACAGCCCAGGGTACAATTGGACTCAGTCACTACTTGAGAGTCTTTATTGCTTTAATAGTATTTGCATGGACCTCAGGAGTGTTCAAATTTGTTTGGGAAAAATAAAGAACTAAACAAGTGCAGTAAAAATCCTAAATGTTTCAACTGTTCCATCCTATATAATAATAATGAGAGCCATCAGACTGCCACGCTTCAAGAATTGTCCCTATAACGTATTTGGTAAGCTGTCCTCTAATGAATAGACCTTAAGATGTGTTCTACATATTGTGGTGGCATGTGTTCTTAGCAGCTAAATTTTGCAGGATAGCCTATAATACTGAGGAGATGCAACGCTGTGAAGGCACAGTTCAGTTTGCAGCAACAGAAGTCTGAGTTCTGGCTGTATGTGGAAGAGGACAGATTCAGAGAAAAGCTAGAAAATGTTAGGACTGTGCCCATGAAAAGACCCATGTAATAAGTAATGAAAAAGAAAATCATGAAAGGTTAAAAGCTGAATCAATCATAAGGCGCCTTCCTTATTTCTGAAAGAGGTCCATTGGGACATACGAATAACTACTTAGTTAAAATATTAGTAATTATCAATATTAGGGACTTCTGGTTTGCACTATTTTGGCATAATATTGGTCTACTCTTTTCAACTTATATTCTGCATGCCCTCCTTGGTTCTGATTTCTAGATCTTTCCTTTTCGTGATTCATTCAGTCTTAGGATCTATCTTGTAGTTTGTAACATGTAAAGAAGTATCTGAAATTTCTAAAAGCATTCTGGACTTTTTCTTCAGCACTGGATGCATTATTTAGCCCTTGGATATCAGCTTTGGAGGTTTAATTACACAGTGGTAACTCACATGCAGACAACTGTATTTTCATAGCAGGTTAACTGCTATGAAACATATATTGATATATGTTGATATATATATGAACATATATTGATATATATATGAACATATATTGATATGTTCTCTCATAAACTGCACTCCAGAAGCAACTGTTTACATCTAGGACTCAAAATGTAGGCAATAGTACTAAAATATTATTAATTTATTCAAGAATATTTTTCATGTTTTTGAATATTTCTTTAACATAATGGGCTATGTTAGAGATACAAGGTCAAATAATACCTTAAAATCAAGAGTTATACCTGGGTTAACTTTGCCACATATAAGACGTAAGAAATAACAGCATTCATTGTTGAGAGCAAGGAAATCACATAACTTCAGGTCTTAAAATATCACAATTTAAACAAATATTTTTAATTTTTATTTTTTTATTTATTCTTACTGTATGTCTTCTATAAACAAATGCCTTAAGGAGGAAGTTCCTAACACTGACTGAGACGTGTATGTCCATCATTCCATGAGGAGTGAGAAGAGGAAGATAATGTTTCTTCCAATCCAGGAAATACACGGTTATAGCTTCTCCCATCTTAGGGGTTTCTCTGGGAATGCTAAACCAGCTGTGTGTATCTGGTAGGCACTCCCTTCTTTCCTAAATTTGTAGATAGCAGACTCTGTCAAAACCTACTTTAAAACTCTGTCCTCTGTCCTCAGTAAAACTTCTTGCTTTCAAGTTGATTTATTTTATGTGAGCATTACTAAATTGTCAAAGTGGATAAATTTAGTGAGCAGATAAACAAATTGTAATTCTCTCTTTGAAAGTTAAAAATCATTCTGTCTTTTATACCTGAATTGATTAATTTACATTTTAAAGAGGGAAGAATGTTGTATTATTACGTTTTAATTAGGTAGTACCTCAGCTCTGATAACACAATATGTACAATGCCTGTTTTGACAGTGTATGTGTGAGTGATTTATCATGTATGACCAGGTTGGATTCTTCTATTTTATTTCAGTGGCACCTAGTTCTTTTTAATTTTAAATCAGTTTGGTTTGTCATTAACTGAAATGTAGTTTTAATTTGACAAATGCAAAGAAACAAACCATACAAAAATGTTCAACAACGTTCATTTGAAAATAAGAACATTTTATTCAGTTTTACAGATGGTTTTATACACCATGCTCTTTTAAAATATACTTTTCTGTAAATATTCCCTTGCATGAAAATGCATCTGGATATTCTTTATTTAGGGGGGAGGCAAATTTCAGTCCGCTGCACAGCAGCAGTGATTTGAACTGGTTGGTCTCTGTATGGCTACATCTGTGACTGAATTTTGAGATTATTTTTGAGAATATTTTTGAATTTTCACATTTTGCGAAGAAGGGTGTAGCCCATTTGATTTTTATGTCTCTCAAAATTAAATCAGAATACTTTTAAACTACGATATTAGACTCTTGACACAAGTTTCCAGATATTTTATATATTATCTGGAAATGCTTGAAAAAACTTCCAACCTAAGCAGATATTAGACAGATAGATAGATAGATAGATAGATAGATCTGTTTGACAACTGTATAATAGATGTGTATTTTGCTATTTACCTCACAGAATGTGTATATGGTTATACATCTAATTTCTTTGTATAACTATTTCCATTGGATATGTAAATACACTAACTGTAGGCACAAATTACCATAATTGGCCATTTTATGTGCAATTATCTGTTTTCATACTTAATTGTGGTAGTTGTACACAAAATTAGACTGCAATTGCTTGTTCATCTATGCAGCTCTGTCCATGAAATATTGAAAATCTAAAAATAAATTCTAATAAATTATGCTTGTAATCTGTGGTTATACCGCTGTATGTAAAAAAATTGCTTTGCTCAGTCCTGTATGAGGGACACATTGGAAGTCAGTAGGGCACAACAAGCGTATCACAGGTAGCTGATAAATCATTGCAGTCGTGGTATGGTGATAGTACATATTTTAACCTGAATTTATGGTCTGTGTAATAAAGACCACGTGGTGGTCTGAATAATGCACAATTATTCAAATACTTATTAGTCATCAAGCCCTGATGTCATCACTTCCCACTTTGTACCTGCCCCTTCCCCAGCTTCTGTCTTGCACTTTAGCAGGAAACACATTCCAGTCTCTGGGATCCTGTGTGGAGTTGCAGACACCTGTAGCGTTTATCTGCAACATTAATTTATCTGAAGGTATTGATCTGTCTTTGCTGTCTCCCAATTTCACCTGAGTCATTTTAAATTACCAGATGAGATGAAAATGATGGCAGTGTTAGAACCATACACCTGAGATTTAAGTTCTTGATTATAGAATTAGAAACACTGTCACCAAAAAAAAAAAAAAAAAATCCCCCGTTTCCACTTTTGTAGCTACAGCACTGAAACATGCATTTTCTTATCCTAGCTGCCTTTTGAGTAAGAGACCAAAGCCTCATTTCTCTGATTCTCTCACCCTTTCAGTCTTTCAAAAGACAAATGGTTTTTTCTGTTTTCAGTTGTCTGTCCGCAGAAGTTTCTTCAGTTGTTGCCTTGAAACATACAGCCTATGGATTCAGATTTATATCTTCTCCTTTCTTTAGAATTATATTTCTGCCCTTCTCTAGTACTTTTTCTGAATTTACATGAATTATTTATTTCTTTATATGACACATTAGCTTATTGGCTTTCCACTTTTACAACAGTTTCAAAACTGTCACAAAATTTTATAAATCATATCTCAGAAGATGTATTCAATGTACATACTTTTAAAATTTATAGCATCTAGCCTATTTTAAGGCTTCTTAGAGACTACATAAGAATCATTAATAATCTAGATGGCATATAGAATTCAGACAACTATATAAATTATTTCCTTCCTCTCTGCCTGAAGTTATTTGTCTGTTTGGGTTTGCAAGTACACAGGTGGAACTGGAAGAAAACAATGAAAGAAGATACTGCTTGTTCTCAGTATTTATTTATTATTAAGATTATTAAATAGTGTTTGAAGAAAGACTTGGAGGGCATTGCTGTATAAAGCAAAAACTTACTCAATCCACTGCATACAACTACTCATATGCCTTAAAACGCACACGCACATCTCCCTGGAGTCCTGAGAAGACTAACTGCTTACGTGATATGCTAGGTCTTTCTAATATCTACAGCTGCTATTTTGCCTTCTTCCAAGCTTTGATTGTTGTCTTGATAGTAACTTTTTAGTGACATATGAAACTAGCCTTGTGCCTGATACATTTTCATTACACAGTTGTTTTTAATTTCACTAGTCTAATAACAAATTGCTATGATTTAAAACCAGTTATACTAAGAGAGACATAAGTGTCGGAGTAGTTCTGAGAGAAGGACTCAGCTGTGATTTCAGGGACAGTTGAATCAGGAATGATTACAGATTTTGGCATATCATGAGCAGCAAGGTGTTTTGGGGCATGTTGTTAAAAATGGATTGGGAACGATGTGGACACACAAGGACCTGATCTCCTTGAGAGCTAAAGTATTAATGCATTATTAGTAAAATCTTAGTGGAGTCATGCTGTAGCATTTACATACATTACCATATGTTATATTGCAAAACCTGCCTGCGTAGGGATCTCATGGAGGCAATTTATAGAAACTGAGCAATTCTGTTGTGTGATTGAACATGAATTTCTGAAGTTTGCGTTTTGCTTTAACAGAATAATGAAAATGAAACAGCACTGCATTGTGCAGCTCAGTATGGTCATTCAGAAGTAGTCGCTGTTCTGTTAGAAGAGCTAACGGACCCTACAATAAGGAACAACAAACTAGAAACACCTCTGGATCTGGCAGCACTGTATGGTCGCCTGCGTGTTGTAAAAATGATCATCAAGGCATACCCAAACCTGATGAACTGTAATACAAGGAAACACACTCCTTTGCATCTTGCGGCACGTAATGGCCACAAAGCTGTTGTGCAGGTGCTTCTGGAGGCTGGAATGGACGTCAGCTGCCAAGTTAGTGTGTAATTTATTTCTCCCCTTCTTCCTTTCCTCCTTTCTTCCTTTCTTTCATTAGTTACCATTATCATTGCAATATGATCCAAATGAAATAACTTATTTTTTCTTTTAACATACACTTGCATCTACTTTGTTAGAAATGCTGCACGGTGATGTATAGTACAGATTTATTTTTTATGACTCAAATGATGTATGAAAGAAAGATACGTGTCATCAAAGCTGAGTGTATATTTTAATGTTGTCTTGAGGCATGTAAATACACAAATCATATCAACCATTCATGTAGGTGTATGTATATATATATATATTTTTTTTTTTTTCAACATTGGCCTTAATGTTACTAAGCTGACTTGCTAAAGCTATGGCCCTTAATGGTTATAGCAATCAGAAAGTTTGACTAAGACCTCATTTTCTCAAGATATTCCATTCTAAACCCAAAGTTACTACATAATAATATTTTTATTTTCTGCTTTTCTAAACCTGTATTCTATAAATCTAAAAGAAAATACTGTAGCACTTCACTCTTGCAGCTACTGACTTCAACCTGTTAGCTGCTTGGTGCATCTAGTTCTGTGCACAGGAAGTTACAGTGGTGCAAAAGAGGTAATATAAAAAAAAAAAAAAAGTCACAGATAGGATCAGATACAAGGTACAGCAGCAGTAAATTTTAGGTCCAATTCTTTGTAGTGGAAAGTGTACAAGCCTTTTAACTACACAGCATAATTCTGTTATGTGTGAAGTCTTGCTTCAGTCACATGATTTCTCTTGATTTGAATGATGGTACTGTATTTGAGTTTAAAGTGTATTTTATCTTCAGATTGAAAGTAGCCTTCTTGGTCTCCGGGCATATATAATATGCTTTGAATTAAGGTTGTTTTAGCTTTGTATCTGTTTTCAGATATACCAAGGAAATAAAAAAATCCACTCATTCTTTACCAGTAGGTCATTTAATAAATCTTGTGAACTTTGCCTAAAATTAGAATAAGTTTTATAGCCATTTTAAGCTTTAGGTGATTTAATCAAACACATTTGTACATAGAGTTCCCTTTTATATAGAAAGATTGAACCTGCATTCTGTGTACTTTGATTATTTCTGCCTTATTCCATCAAGGTCATGTTTTTCAACTTTTGTGGAAAAGAATGTGATGTGGGAAAGAAACAATAAATCTAAATAAAACCCCAAAGCAAACCAGAAAATATTGATGTATTTTAAGTTTACAAATGGCTAGTCTCAAATGCCTTCAGAATGAAAATGTGGTAAAATTGTTTTGCAACTTTTATTAGCTCTAGTATATTTTGAGTTTGTATTTTTACTTGTTTCAAACTATTTCAAACTGGAACAGTTTTTTTCCTCCTGTGGTTTGCTTACTTGTGTATCTGTCTACTGTTATGCTTCCAATTTAATTTGCTTTTGATTTTCTCGACTAGAAACTGATACTCTTGCGAAGGTTAATGAAAGCAGATCTTTTGGATCAGCTCTCCTTTACTACTACTACATCTTCAGTAATTTAGAAAAGTTTAATGTTAAAGAAACACATAATGGAACATTTGAATACATGTTTCTGAATGTGTAATTCCTCTTCTATCCCTACCAGATAAATGAGAAAAAAGTCAGAAAGAAACTGATGCCTGAATTTATGCTTAAGAAATAGAGTAATAGAAGAAAAATATTCTCTGTCATGGCAACTTACAAATTGATGGCTACATAAGGGTTGAATATTACACAATGCTTTTATGAAATGTGTTCTTCCTCTTATGTAACCTAGATAATTTTAGCACTACTGTGTATTCTCCTAAGCCATTTCTATCTATAGTTATATCAAAAGTTTTTTTTCTTGTCTTTAAAAAATACAATGGCTGAAATTTTGTACTATCTTCTTTTAAGGAATGAGAGATTCTTTTAGTAATGGTGATCTGTTTGCCATATACACTAAAATTCTCAGACTGTCTTCTTTTTGTAAAATTCTGATTTGTTTTAAGTAATTTCTATTCTTATTTTTTTTAGTTATTCTTAGGTAGGGAGAATTTTAAAATTTTATTTTATTTTAATTTTTTGCATGGAATAATCCTGCTTCTTCTCTGTTTGTCCTATTTGCCATAAGGAAATACAATTTATTTCTTTTTTCACCGGTATACATATTCTCCATCAATATGTTCCTTTTCATTCAGCATCTTAGCATATTGGCAAGTTGGCTCTGTACATATTGTTAACTTACTGCTTCTATCTACCTCTGAAAAATTCTTTGTTGATGGTTACTGGCAGCTCATTAAACTGAGCACAGCATAAAATATCGGCCTGTTACTTAAAACTGAACTCAGCTCTTTTAATATTAATTAAATTGCTCTGCATCACTGATTGGGAAAGAACAATATATAAAATATAATCCCACATGGTAAATAAAATTGGACACATTCATAGACATTAAATAATTTCAGCTTATCAGCAGTAAAATGTTCTCAGAATATTGAAAGACAATTATAGAAGTAGCCTATCTGCTATCACTCTGTAATTGTAAATATTTATATGTATAAATGGGTAGTTTACTTTAGCCATGTTATCTTTCTCTTCTGTACTCCCTAAGCACTTTTAATCATAGCAAATATTTGGAGTAATAATAGACAGCATTTAATTTTTGATTGAATTAATCACACATTTTATTCATTTCCCAGGTCTATCCAATATCCTTCAATCTGAAATTATTTAGAAGTGGGCAATACAAATCTGCTTCATCTCTTTATGCTTTGAAGTTTTCATTTAAATTGAAACATATGAAAAATACACAGGTTTTGGGTGAGTGCTAGATTTTGGGCCCTCAGTAAAATAAGATACTGCACAGTTCAGTGTGTTTCATGTAAAGAGTAATTTTATAGTTGTAAATACCTTAAAATCTTGGCCCCTTCTGCTTATCCCACTTTCATCTCCCCCTGTTTGCCTCCCCTGTCTGTTCCAGTAATGATGGGAATTTCCATTGCTTATCACTGTAGCTCCTCTGCAAAGAGCTCTGGCCCTTCCTTTTTGCTGTCAATATGTGTGGAGGATGTTCTGTGAATCAATTTGCAAAGCTTCCATTTCATCCTTCAGATTTTGTCTGAAATCCATATCAAAACTATAGTAAACTGCAGAAGAATAAGGCCTAGACAAATGACCTAATTACAAGCTCTTGCATATTTACATGGTTAAAAAAATCTCTAATTAATAAAACCCTTGATGCTTTTATGTGAGCCTGCAAATTGTACGCCAAGTTGATTTGTGTATCCTGGTGTTCCTACTGACAATGTCCTTCTATCCTCGCTTGCTTTGTGTGTCCAGCTGTGACATTGTACCTGTATTTAGCTGTAACCTACTTGGGGCAGGGGCTGTCTTACTGAAGTGCTTAGCACAATTTGTGCTATAGTGCTCTGTATTTGATATACAGAAAATGTATGCCAGGGAATCAATATATAGTCCATTGATGCAAACTCAAGCAGACTTTAGCTCATTGTGTTCACGAAAAAATATCAGCATTTTTTACATTAAACATCACTGTGGAAGGATTTCCAAATATAGTGGTAGTGTTCACTTTGCCAGAACAGTATGATCCAAGGCAATGAAAGCTTCAGGAAGTAAAGCAGTGAATATTGTCTATAAATCTTAAGTTTGCTTGCTGTAGTATAGACAACAAGAGTACATTAGCACATATGTAAACCATTGTAAGTGAAAAGATCTGGCTAAAAACTCTAGCACATCTTAAATAATATATAGAACTTACTTGCAACTACATTTTTAATCCTTCCAATTTGTGTAACATACTCTATTGCACCATAAAAAACCCTCAAAATTATTTCTATCCTTGAGTAGTAGTCCATGTGTACATTTACCAAGAGATACGTATCTACTCAGCCAGTCCAAGTTTCTCTTGGACTTGCTCAGCATTTTCCCTATGTTAAAATGGAGTTTGGTAACTGAACGCTCTGGTAACAAGGACGTTTCTGCCTTCTGGACATTTTTTGGGTCGAGGGATCTGAATCATTTGTTAGCTATTCACCATTAACATTAACTCCTGCCTAGAGCCTTTAAGATTTATGTCAGCATTCATCTTTGTGATATCTCATGCAGGATTACACATCTGCATCTTACAAGTGATAGTTTTCATTCAATTTCTTAGAAAATTTATGCTTTCAGCAAGGAAAATACTACTTGCCTTTCTTCCCATGGGGAATTTTGATCAGTAGGAAGGACTGCTTCCAGTTCTGACAGTTATATCAGGATCTTTTCCTACCCTTAACTGAGGAGTCTGAGGATAGATCCTCTTCCTTGTCCTCAAAGCTGTCAATCCAGCATGGTGGAACTTAATCTTTCTCAGTCTCAGATCACACCACAGCAATGGATTCTAGATAGCTGTTGTCACTAAAGTATGTCCATTTTTTCCATTAAAAATAGTTTGTTATTAATATTAATACAGAATGATCTTTACAATTTTAGTTAAGGTGCAGCTGGTTCCCATCTCTGCAGTTCATCCTCAGTAAGACTAAAATTTAGTGCTAGGCTTCCTATAACATTTGAACCTTTGTGGATTTCATTGTTGGTGTATACATCACTAATTGTCATCCCTGGCAGAATCACAGTATGGTTGAGGTTGGAAGGGAACTCTGGAGGTCATCTGGCCCTACCCTTCTGTTCAAGCAGGGTCCTAGACCAGTTTACCCAGGACCATGTCTAGACAGCTTTTGAATATCTCCAATGATTGAAACTCTAGAGATTTCCTGGTCAACTTGTACCAGGGCTCAGTTGTCTGCACAGCAAAAAATGTTTCCTGATGTTCAGACAGAACCTCCTGTGTATCAAGTTTTCCGCATTACCTCTTTTGTCACTGAACACCACTGAGCCTGGCTCAGTCTTCTTTACACCCTTCCTTCAGATATTTGTACACACTGGTGAGATCTCCCCTGAGCCTTCTCTTGCCTAGGCGAAACATTTCCAGCTCTCTCAGCCTTTCCTCATAGAAGAGATGCTCCAGTCTCTTAATCTCCAGTAGCTCTGTGTCTATCTTGTACCGGGGAGCCCAGAACTGTACAGAGTATTCCAGGTGTGGCCTCACCAGTGGTGAATAGAAGGGAAGGTCACCTCTTGACCTGCAAGCAACCCTCCTCCTAGTGCAGCCCAGGATATCATTAGCTGTTTTTCTGCAAGAACACATTGCTGGTGAATGTTGAAATAAGACAGAATATGTTCTGCTGTAGTGAATATGTTCAAATATGAGAGAGACATTCCTCTTTTCTCCAAACAGAGACTGATTAATTGTGATTGATCCCCTATTTTGGTGTTCTTCTCTGGCAGGTTATCATGCCAAAATTCTTCCCACTGGGACTTCTGAATTTCATCACCTGTCTTTTCAAAGTAAAATATTTTGGGAGTCAAAACGCTACCTCACGTCCTTGATGACAGAGAACTCCATGTTAATAGTACCAGGTCTACCCAATGGTTTTTAGGTTTATTCATGTCAGTAAGCTACCACTGCAAAGGAAATGCCAGATACACACAAATACCGAAGAGGATAATAGGCTGTGCCAAACAAATCCTTTTTCAAGATTGCTGATGTCAAGCCTTTTTCAGTAATCAGACTACGCGTGATTTTCTGAGAACTGTTTTAATTCCCAGCAATTTCTGAGCTGCAACTTAAGCTCAGTGTGTACCTTTGTGGTTGTGCTATGTCATTGCAGAGTTATCCAGTGTTGGTCAATTGCAGTTACTGGAAAACTGCTGTAGACATTGTTTGAGTAAAGGATTCTGAAACCATCTCTTAAGTAAATATGAATATTTGGTCTTCTTGTTTAGAGTAACTCTGTGAATGTTCATCTGGATTGCTTCTGAAAATGGAAAAATTATAAATTGTTTTCAGATATGCATTTCACATGTACATTCTTTTACTGACTTCCTTCTCCTCTCCACTGTATGGTTAGTATACCTGATGTGCTGGATGTAAGTGACATTGGGCATGCTCTACTTTATATGTCCATGTACTAAGTGTGAGGAAAGATAAAAAGTGAGTGTTTCTTCTATGGGCATAACAGAGTTTTCAGGCTCAATTGGTAAGACATAGATACTCCTACTATGTGCTCACATCCCATCTCAGGATCTCTGATTACTTCTAAATATCATGTCATTTCATCACTGTAACACTGGTGCATGCTGATAAGACCAATAAACGATGAATCGCTATTTTATTTCAGAGGGTGGGGTTTTTTGTGTGTCTTCAAAGTCTTTCCACCATGGCAAGCATGAAAATGGTGCATTTGGATAAAATGTAGAAAAAATAAATTCAAGCAGTGAAACCTTGAGGGTTTGACCACAAATAAAAAAACACTCAAAATCTAATCTACTATGAAGAAAAATGAGATGAGCCATAGATCCAGTGAGACCTATTGGTGCTTTAGCTAATGCTAATGCTATTGTATGGAAAGGCATTCTGTTCAGAGTTTTCAGCGACAGTCAACAGTATAAAATACTAAGAAAAGTAACTTGTTAAGAGAGGTAGTTTGTTTTTCAGTACTGCAAGTTTTATTTGAGCAAAAGCCCATTCACAAAGAATTTTGGGTCATAGAAATCTGCAAAATCAGGTTCACAGACAACTGAGGTAAAATTTAAGTGGTCTAAACATAGACATCTACTGCTGTTGGAGGTGCCTTAGGGTATCCAAGACATCTGTACGGGGCAGATATGATGCAGATCAAATGTGACTGTCAACTGGAACATCAGCTGGAGGCCAGGTGGGATATCCTAGGGCATCTCTTGTTGTGCAACTGAACTGACCTTCTGGGCTGTGGTCCATTTTCAGGTTAGAACTCTGAAGTGTAGATCTCCACGTTAACTGGCTGACTGCTGAAGAGCTGTGTTCCACTGACAGCATTGACTAGATTTTCACTGCCAGCAGTAGTTTAGACATTTTATACAAATGCAGGCTTATTAACTGGGGGATGTATTATATCTCTATTATATTTTCTTATATAGTTATTAATTTTTACAGTAGAACTGACAGCATTTATGTTGCTATCTTGAATAATAATAATAAAGTATGGTTATATTTGTTCTTGCCCATTCAATGTTTTTTATGTGTCGATAAAATAGAGAGGAAAAATAAATACTTCTTTTCTAAATGTATTCTTTTCAAAAGGATTCATTGGTATTTTTATTTGCATTTTAAATGTCAATATTTTTTTCTAGACAGAAAAAGGGAGCGCACTACATGAAGCAGCCCTATTTGGAAAGGTGGAGGTAGTACGCATTTTGCTTGAAACAGGTAAATCTGATTTAAAGGAAACACTGAAGAAATATCCTTAATATTCCTAATATGGTGTATGTCTCCTTGTATTGGTTATACAATTTACTGTTATCTTTCTCAGTCTTTGCAAATCTAATCACATGTACCTTTCCTTAAAACAGTGTTCTTTTAGAATAAGAAATTACTGTACACAGAGAACAAAAGGCATGTTTTCACTAAGACTCAGAAATTCCATATATGACTCAGTGTATGCCAGTGTATTCTGTGAATAAACGTATTCTAAGAACAAAATGACTACATAAAATTTTGTTATTCGGTCTGAAAGACAGCCAAGAATATTCTTTGATCTAGAGGCCAGAAGTTTCATGTTCACATTTATGCCCTTCACTTAGCTATTCCTAACAAATGCACCATGCTGCTTGCTCCTACATTTCCTGGATAAACATTTGAGTGCCCATGAAGAACGAGGAAGGCATTGTGTCTCTGAGAATTGCATTTGTCCTGAAAGACCAGGGATATAGTGTCCCAGCAAACCCATCAACTACGTAACAAGAATTTCAGAATTGTTGCAGGTAAATTACTAATCTAAACAACTGTATTCCCAGATAAATGAGAAGACCAGTGAAAACGAAAATATCTGGAAATTACTTCTCTGAGATATGTGAACTTCCATTACACTGAGTGATCTCCCTGATCTTTATTATCAGTGCTCTTGGGATTATATATTGCAAAAGAACACATATCCTACCCACAACTCCTCATCTGAATCTCAGCTAGCGCATACCTGATCTGAGAGTGGTTTTCAGAGAAAAGGGTCATTCCAAGATGCTTTCCTGTTTGGATGAATAAGAAGCAGTCAGAAAGGGATCTTCACCTGCCCTTAAAAAGGCAGAGCCTTTTTATATTAATTCACCTAGAAGAGGAAGGCCAGGAGGACATCACACAAACATAGGAAGCCCTTAGACCACAGGCAAAGAATACCTCTTATAGATTAGCACACATTATAGCCTCTGCCAGAGTACAATTGTACAAGACAGTGGAGCAGAATCTTCACTGTGAACTATTTCAACCCCGAATGCGTTGCACTTCTGCAACACTCCTCACCTTCTGCCTTTTTAACCTGAGAATACCCTTTTCTCTAGTTGTGCTTCAAAAAAAGACTCAGAAGATGTCATAAGTGGCTACTGTAAAGGAAAAGTGCAAGTAGGTGTCTCTGGCCTCTTAAAATCAGCTGCCACTGTTAATTATCCCAGCAATATTTGGCTTTATTTTCAGTGAGAAAAACAATATCTCTTTCTCACAAAACAAATTAGGAAACTCTCCGTCAGGACACAAAATGACAAGAACTGCAGCCTTTTCTGGGGAATAGAACAATCCTTCCATGCTTCCAGAATGTGTTTATAAATTCTGTGTTCTCTGATTTCCTAGAGAACACAGGATTTCCTAGCATCCTGAGAAGAATCTCATTCTGTATGTTAGGCTCTTTCATGCCTTTACTTTTTATAAAAGTACATATAAACAAAAAAACCCAACCTCAGTCTGCTACTGTAAGGCAAAAATATCCCCTACAAACCAAAGGTGGAGTGACATGCAGTATCATGCACAACAGGTTCTCTGAGATCTATCCAGGATAAGCCTCAAACTTATTTATGGTTCACAGTTTGAGCCAAACAATTACTTACATTCTGAACAGACTGTGAGGAAATTCTCTGGCTGTTCACAGAGCCATTATACTACATGTGAGTATTTCAGTCTACTCAGAGCATGAATTTCGAACACATCACCATGAAGTACAGAACTGTTAAGGTTAATAACCTTTTCAGCATTGCCCCCAAAACACACACTGGTACTATGGACTAGAAAATCCCCAAAGAATCTGAGCAGTTTGGGGAGAATTAGAATCTAGGAATGTAGGAAAAACATTCAGAGTAGTTCTTGATTTTATAAAATATTATTTTCAAGATGGCTGTTTCTTAGGAACAGTCTGTTAAAATAAACCCAAATTTGATTTAAGAAGCTTGTTTAACACCATGAATTACAGTGGCGTGACAGTCCATGTCAGCATGTGAATTTTAGGATACTCAAGCCTTAAACAGAAATGGATGCTGTACTTAACTAGCACACAGCTGTTGATCTGCAACAATTGTAAAACAGCTTTCATTCAATTTGCCAGATAATTGAGTCTGATATACCACATTTATAATCCAAAGTACTTGGGGTTAAAAATTCCATCACAGATAATTTTCTTTTTCAGGAATTGATACAAACATAAAGGACAGTTTGGGTAGAACAGTTTTAGATATTCTTAAAGAACACCCATCTCAGCAGTCACTCCAAATTGCAGCTCTACTTCAAGGTAAGTCATATTCAGTTATAAATTTGTTAGAGACAAATCAGAATAGCATGGAGGAATATTAAGATATATAATAACTTGTACTCTAAATATTTCATGATACAAAATATTGTCTTTTGAATTAAAAATACAAAACTTATTTCTGTCTATCTAGCAAACAAGTAGTTGAATATCTGAATTTCAGAGTAAACCCTTTCTTGTTTTTGTGGACTATAGACATTACCATCGTGAGTCACTTTCTGTAGATTCTTCAATACAAAATAACATATTGTAATATTTCACTGCAGTTCCACTAAATTATGCTGGTAAACCACAATTGAAAGGCTTGATTTGTTCATAAACAACAGCTGTAACTGAAAGTTGATGACAAATTTTCAAAACATTTCATTACATTTTTCTCATTTTCCTTAAATTAAAACAAAAAACAAACAAACAAAAAATACAAAACCAGGCAGTAAGTCTTGCCATTACAGCAGAAATAATATAATTTTTTGTACATACATTTGTTCTCATTCCTCATCTTACTTTCATGGTGTGAGACTGATGGAACTCCATTGTTTACTTCAACTTTTTATTCTAGATAATGACAGTGAAGTGATGAAACACAATAATTCCTTCTCTTCTATGGAATTTGTTTTCTCCATTTTCAGATTAGTGTTTCATTAACTGTGTTTGACAGAGGAGTTCCCTGCAGGTATCATTGCTGCATCTCCACCCTTATCAATTATTGCCATCTTTAAATAATTTGTTTTAATCAGATCAGTGTTGGTTCTACATATGAAGTAGCTCATGCTTCAGTCTCTTGCATAACTGTAATGCATAAGAATATTTCCTAGGTAGTGTGGCCACATGACTTCATTTTATGTCCTTCAGGGTTTGTTTTCTGAATAACTTCCAAACTTGTTAACCAGTTTTCAAGTGACATGATGGGCCAAAGATACAAGGCTCCTATAAGAATAATGAATATTTTGCAGGGTAGAGGAGAGATATTGTCTTAAGAAGCAGATTCATGTTACAGCTGAACTGGATTAGCAGCTTGCCTCTCTCCCTCCTTCCTATTTTCTTTTTCCCATTCCCCCCTTCCTTCTCCCCTACTCCCAGATACACAGCTCCCTTCTATATTCCCAGGAGGTTACAGGAGATTGAAAAGTGATCTGATTCAGTAATGAACCAGTAATATATAGTTTGTTAGATTACCTATATTTAATACTATGTAACAGTCATAAAACCTAAGATTATAATTATATAAATATACATTTTTTGCTTTAATAAACTTGCCTCTTATGTGATTCAGGTCCCAGAGTTAGCTCTGTCCCAGTTAACTGGCAGGAACATGCATCTAAAAGTGGGGAGAAAGATATGGGTGAGGGAAGTAGGACTTGCCCCTGTTAGCAGGAGTAAGTTCCTAATTTGACTCAGACCGTATGGTGAAACTTCAGCCTTTGTGTCTTCACTGACCTGCAGTGTGACCATATCACTGTGTAGAGGAAAAGAGGGTTAATATCATATTGAAACTTCTTCAGTGACAGGAAGAGGGTCAGTCAGAGCCTCTACTTTCTTAGACATCCAAATGAATCGTTCTTCAGATATTAATGTAAGATTCATTATAATTTCCCATCACCAACTAAACTAATACTCAGTATCTTTGGATTGTTCCATTTTCTCCTTAGTGTGATAAACCTGCAGTCTCAACTCCACTGATGAACAAAGTTTATTCAAAAGATTAGAAGCACCCAAACCCCTCTTAAGGGTTTGTTACTTAGATACACCAGGATCTGCCCTTAGTTTTTACCACAAGAAATACATCCATTTCCAGACTTTTTGGTGCTTTGACGTGCAATCTTTTTCACATGTGTGCCTTGAAAATATAAAGAATACTGCTTAGCAGTTTCAACTCATATCAGTATGACAAAACTGTGCTGGCAACGACCAGCTGTTTATTTTTGCACTGTCTGCCTTATAGTCAGACGTGATGTGCAAGGATGAAAAATGTTTACAAAGACACCATCTGAGTCTTAAGAAAACCTGAGGAGACCTCTCAGAACTTCTTGTGGTACCCACTGAGATACTTTTTCATCAGCAAAGTATTCACTGAAGCTTTAACCATCAATGATGAAGTTTGAACTCTGAGCTGAAGTTGAAAAATAAAATCTGGGGTGGCAGGATTCAGTACTAGCACTAATGATGAGACAGTAGACCTCTCCTCCTCTAAAATGCCAGCTGAGTATACTGTTCACTGAAGTGTGGGCATTTATCCTGTCGTAGATGAAAAATCAGGGAAGCACTGTGATTTTGAGAAACCTGAATGTAGTGTAATTGAGTTCGACTTCAGTGGGTAATGAATTCCTTGCAAGAGAAGGACAATTGCTGAGAGAGAATTAGTGGCTTCCAAATACATTCCTTCCTGCTAAAGCTTCTCTCTTCAGCTGATTGCCTAGAGAACGTTACATGTCTTCTCAATGCAGACTTAAAGGAAAAAAAATCTAAATTAATGGCGTTGGACAATTACTGACCAGATTTTGTTAGTTTCTTCCTAATTTCTTTCCTTATGCAAACACAATGGCATAGAATTGATTCTTTCACCTTGTTGCCAGGACAGAGTAAGATTTTAGCACCTAGCATTCTCATTAATATTTACTATTTCTCCCTTGCATTGTTCGGAGTGTTACCATACAGTTTGTAGTAGTCAGATAGCATAATATTTGCCACAAAATACTAGCTTTCAAAATATAAAACAAAGGCTGAAAGATGCGTATGGGCAGAAACAGACCAGGAAATAATGTGACTGTTATTAATTACTGCTCAGCCTGGTAGGTAGTGTTCTGTCCTATGTGCAGAGGGGTTGCAGAGCTGTCACAAAAGTTTTGGAAGAAAACTAACTAGTTTTGATATTTGTGAAAAACGTCTCTGAAGGAGAAAAAAATAGTTTATGTCTTTAGAGGCAGTTCTTGGAGGCAGTAATACTAAATCCATTCAGCTGATACTAAAACCTACAGGACTGGTGGCCTCCTGTGAATGAGGGCTCTGGAATTTAAGAACTGTGGATAGAAGTTTCTATTGGTGTTCTTCCTTTTTTTTTTAAGAAACGACTTTTTGCAGCTTATGGGTTAAAAAGACCAACAAAGCCTTTTGCCAGTGAGATTTTAGAAGATATCCTAGTATTTTTGTGATCTTTTCCTACTATCCTGGGAAAATAGTAATTAAAATATCTGCAAAAAGGTTTTGGTTTTTTTTTTGTGTGTTTGCGAAGTCTGCCATCTTTTTGGAGATTTTGTCACGTTATCTGATAGAAGGAAAATAAATAACACAATGACTTTATAGAGCAACATGAAAACGGCTGAATAAACTATAAGCCAACTGAATTTTTTTTTTTTTACTGCCTGTTAATTATAGATGGAATTATTAGAAATGACAGTTCAAGTTTAATTCTTTGTCTTTCATACGTGTGCCTTTATTTTCTGTGCCTTGCTCAGGCTTGAGTTGCATAAAGCTAAATTAAAAATACTGTAGTTTAAATTCTTTAAGTGGTAATGAAGAAGTAGCTGTTTTGGCATGAGGTACTCAAAGAGCAGAGAATTAGAATACTGTGCCAACTGAGTCCAGTCTACTGGATGCATTTCATGGATGTAGTGAAACAACAGCACCGAGTGCTGAAGCAGTTAACAGTATTGGCACTTAGGGCTTTATAATTAGGCACTGAAGATAAAAGGGATGTTGCCAAGGCTAGTAGGCCTAAAATTAAACCGACCAGCTGTGTTTTAGTTTTAGCACATGGGAATGTGACGCAGATGCATGCTATACCATCTTTCAACTCTTTCTCCACAGCCCACTATGCTCTCTATTAGTATCTTGCTCTTTTACTATTTCTGGAAGCAGAATTCTTGCTATTATGAAAAAAAAATTAGTAGATAAACAGATGAAAAATTACATGAACCCCAAGAAGGCACAATCAGCTCTGCTGTATAGACAGTATGGAGGGAGATGTAATGGAAAGCTGTTTGCTCTCTCTCCTTCTGAAGCTGTGTTAGAACCTAACATTGTACGTTACCAAATTATTCATAAATGAAAAATGCATAAGCAGCTCCAGAACCAAGACTTCTTTCCTCTACCCTCTGTTTAAATAGTTTTGGTGTCAGTAACGCAGACTTTCTTTTGTGTATTCTCATTCTCTTTCTCTCTCCCTTTCTGTGGAGAATAGATCTTCCATTCCCTTGAGTACTGAAGGCCAGCCTCAATGGAAGGGTGGAATAGGTTTCCAGTGAAGGATTTAATTACAGCTGTGTGGGATGAAAAGAATTGGAATCTCAATGCCCCTTTGATTTTTTTTTTTTCTTTTCTGGGAACTCCTTAGCTCCTTTTATAGGCTATTGTGCAAAAGCTGTAGAGTATCAACTATGTTTATGAATTAATTTAACTGCTGTTGTTCTGGGGACTGAAAGTTTAGCTGCACCCTTGCCTGTCTCAGGATCGTAGTAGTACTTGAGTTCTTGTTTCTGTTTATCTTCCCTGAACATGTGCACACAAGTCTCTTTATGTGCCTATAACTGAAATATCTACTGATTTCAGGTTTCTCTGTGATTAAGTTAAACTTGAGTCATTCAGAATTGTCCTGTGAAGTTTAGAAGACTGGTCAGCCCACCTGAAGCTCGTCTGTCACCTAGGCACACCTGAAGGTAGCAGCTACCTATTGGGTTTCTGTAACTGCTGCTGCTGTAAAGGGTAAAGGAATTGGGTCATGAAGCCTCAGGTGGGCTCCTTTTCAGGGAAGCAGGTGAGCTCCTTTGGGAGGAGCTTTTTGAGAGCTGATGGGTTGGGGAAGGAATAAATGAAGCTGCAGGACATTCAGCCAGCTGCTGGGAGTGGGGTTCTGAAGGTTGCTGCTCTTCAGGAAGAGCTGGAGTGAAGGAGGAGTAAGGATCCCCTGTAGGGGCATGGGTGGTGGTTTCTAAGCCAGTTTTATTCCTCCAATCTAGTTACTTGAAGAGTTGTCTTTTTTAAGAAGTGAGTGTCCAGATTTTTTTTTTTTTTTTTTTTTTTTGCTTAAGAGTTTAAAATGCTTTTTGGTCTTTAGGGAATATTATTCTAGGGAGGAACTATATGTGGATCCACCTATGGTATGGCTGACGTAAGTTGTCAAAATAAAAGAGAAAGGAGCTCATACTTTTTAGGAGAGGAAAAAAAAAGAAAAAAGCTGTTTGGGTGGGTTTTGGGCTTTATTTTTTAATCATTAAAGGAAAAATAAAAAGTTCTCTGAGGCTAATGTAGCTGTTACTCTAAAACCTGAGCTTTGTAAAGCAAGATTCTTGCACCCTCACTGAGGAACTAAGACCTAGAAGAGCTGAAAGTAAAGCAATCTGTGCTCTACAACCTGAGCTTTTATGGCCCCTGTAAGTTGAGCAGCAGTTCTAGCTGAGCTGGGCTGTGTTCTCTTAATGGCTGACCTTCCTGTTTCTGACCACTCCGTGAAGAAGTAGCTCTGTTTCCCTGCTTATGTGTTAATGCTTTCCTTTCTGCTTGGCTTTGGTCTAACCAGTGTTACAGTAATGGAGAAAACTTGAGCTCCAGTTACTTGATCTCTCCAGTTCTTGTTACCTTCTTTGGTTTGTATTTTCCAGTGCTTGTATTTCCACTGTTCTGTGACCACTTTTATGCTATTACCTTTTGTGCACGTGGCCCTAATTAGATTGAGTGGGGCCAGGTTTTTGAGATTATTAGTGTTAAACCATGGTGAACACTAATCTGTTGTTCAAGTCAACAGAAGTAAAATGTTCCGGTGCAGTCTCTTAAGTACACTATAGTCAGAGTTGATGATGATAACAGTATTGTATTTTTCACTAAGTTTGGGCAGGCTTTGAAGAAGAATTTCTAGCCAGTTAGTTGCAGGTGAATAGAATTTGGTTGCTGGTGAAAGCATCCACTGCTTGTGTGTACATTCTCTTTGGCTCTTGACATAGATCACTTGTTTTGAGTCTGTTTCTTAGACAATATTATGGTAATAGTATTTACCTAGACCATAAGCCCCTCTCAGCTGAGTCCATGTCTATTTGTCTCATACATATGCAGCAGTACTTCTGGTAGTGTAAAACCAAGTTAGAAGTCCAAAGTTTTAAGGGTTGCAGTCTTACAAGGATGGCACACTGTTGGTGCATTCTAAACCTCTACACCATACCTTGTTTTGGGCTGTTTGTAGAGGTTTTCTGGAAGGAACTCTCCAGCTTTTAAAATAAGTATTTATGAGACTTATGTTGAATTTGGGACTTCCTCCTCAGGACTAGCCTTCAGAAGGTAACTGCATCTGTTTAACATCTTTGTCGGTG